CAGAGCGAGAGAGTAACATTGAAAAGTACGGGATCGCTTTCTAGTAAAAAATGGTAACTTCTGTCAACTTCAACATAACCTCCAAATTTTGGTTGTAAATTTTTGCTTATTTTGTATGTAAACACACTCAGCACACACATGTAAATAACCAAAAATACTTTCAAATTCTTTAGAATCCACTTAAACAAGTAGTTAAATACTTTTCAACTTGAATTAGCGGAGTGCACTTTTCTTTTGTTTACAATTTGGTTGCCAAACACACTACAGCTGATCGTTTGACACATTTACCAGAATTTACCAGCAACAAATTCTCGGACTAAAACTGGTAACTTCTGACAGAGAGAACCGTATTTACTCTCTTTTTTGTCCTCTCAATAGTCAGAGAACCGAGTACGGAATCGATTTCCAGTAAAATCTGACTGATTCTGACTATTTCTGTCTACTCCGGACTCGTAGGGGATCGCAACTTATTATATTTTAACATTATTGCTCAATGGATGTTTAATTATAACCAAAAGATTATCTCTTCTGGTCAGTTTTCAGTGTAGTTAATAGATGTTTAACTCATACTTAATTCGCCACCATTGGACAGTTAACTATTGATTTACTAATTATTTATTAACCTATAGTTATTTATCAACTGTGAAATCGGCTGTAAGACTAACCGAAATATTTCGGAAAAATATTAAGATTTACGTGAGCTAGACCGATTTTAAAATACTTCCAAAAATGTGAGTTTTTTGTGAATAAAAACAGTTTTTTATGTATTTTTTTGGAAAAATAATCACCTTAGATGACAATACAGCTTACGCTTAAAAAATTTGCATAAAAATATCTAAAAAAAAATCGACGGTATCACAATAAAGAGATTGGTGATGCTGTTTTTGAACTTTTTTTCAAACTGGTTTATAAAAAATCTTGAATAACTCAGCCTAAACTTTACCGATTCAGACTTATAAGGTATCGTTGGAAAGGAATTTTCTAACCCTTTTTATCTCTTTGCAAATAAGCTCATTAAAAGCATGAAAGAGAAAGGTAAGACAAACGAGCCTCATTTTATGTTGAATTAAGATGTGTTGGTATTTTATAAAGAAAAATTGGGACGTGAATGAGTTTTTTTGCAAAGAAATAAAAAGAAAATATTTTTCCACAGATACCTCACAAGTTTATATCGATATAATTTTTGCCCAGTTATTCAAGTTTTTCTTAAACAAATCTTTGAAAAAATTTAAAAAGTGCATCAAATATGTCATTATTATGATTCCGTTGAAAAAAGGTTTGTACAATTTTATGTAGATTTTTAAAGCTTAAACTGTCATTTGACATCCTTTAAGAAACTATTTTTATTCATTAAAAACTCTATTTTTGAAGATATTTCCAATCAGTACAGTTCACATAAATCTTAATGTTTTTCCGAAATATTTTGGTAGTCTTAAAATATAATTCATTTTGTAATCCCGGCGGAAAAATCGCAACTTTTTTTGATAATGCGGTCTAATATACATATGTACATATTTTCATATATACCAAATGCAAAAGATTATAAAAAAAACCGTAAAATAAGCATACAACGATCCAACCAAGTTCGCTTCATATGAACGATTCTGTCCACTCCAATGAGGGTGAGCAGCTGTATCAGTATGTAAAACATATGGACGGACACATATTTTTTTTTTGGAACCCGTTGGTACTTTATGCTCGTTTATACATGCATATGTACATATTCACATACATAGATATATGTACAGTATTGGTTATATCTATAGCACTCCCATTTCAAAGTGATATTATTTTTCACTTATGTTTAATTACTCATTTTTAAGAATTTTCAATTAGGATACAGTTCATTCTCTAAAGAGAAACCACATAAACTCAAGTTTTAAATTTTGTAAAAGACTACAATAGAATGCAACAAATTTCCACCTAAATTTGTAACTTTTTTCTCAGAAGTGTTCAAATCCTGTTGAGTACGCAGTTTTATGGCCCATTTAATTATCAGTTTAACAGTTCTGAGCGAATTTTTATTTTTTGACAGTTGTACTAGTTTTAGTCCGAGGAATACGGGATTGCACCCACTTTATATCTATATGCATACATACATATATGTATATGTAGGTATGTTGATAAGCTTACATATACTACACCAAATATATAGAAAGATATAACTGGACATGATTATAAACCCAGTATGTACGGTTTTTTAAATGTCATCGGTTACTCCCTTACAATATTTATGGATTTATGTACATGTAATAAGTAGGTTTGCACGTTGACATCTTATATGGTGTTCGCATGAGGCGATTTTATAGGCAACTTTTAGTTGAAAGCAGAAATCGCCTGGTGTGAACGGCCTTTCAACTAATGGCTTACAATAAAGTTGGGGTGCACCCAACTTTTGATTCAACTAAAATTGCTTGGAAAATCGCCTCATGCGAACAACGTATCAGGACCAATACCATTTTAGGCATTATTAAAGTGCTTAATTGATTAATTTCAGTCAATTGACTCGCAAATATACGGTTGGTTTTTCTATTGCAAAAAGTTAAATTTTAAATTATTAATTGTGCCTCACCATTTGAATTTTAGTTACTTTTTTTATGTACTCACAGAATCCGTTTTTCCTTATCTCTGTATACACACTTAATCTGAATCCTACAAAGCAAGATGTAATTGCCAGAGGGTGGTGTTGAAGTACCAGGGGTTGTATTGATTTTTCACAATACATATATAACTACCTCACTATTGAGCAGTTTATTCTTTCCACGTTTTCAACCTGCTTTTTATCCTTTATAATTAAATTAAATTTAGCAACTAAAAAGTAGTTTTGATTCAAGCTCATAAAGAATTTCAATTTTTTTAATTATTTTCTTCTGTACACGCACTGCACAACACCAGTACGTACTAACACATGAGAAGATATACGAAGAGATCTCATTCCACTTATATACTACGTATGAATGTACATACCTTCTTTCTTCCTTTCCTTTGGGTATTCTCGAAAAATAACTACAGCAGTCGCTTCAATTCCACTGCATCAGCGCCCACACCATCATATGTACTATACATATATATGTAGTGTTAATGGTCAGAGCAATTTGCTTGAAACGTTGTTATATTACTCAGGTGCTTACTAATTTTCTTATCAATTGCACCGATAACTTCGGTTAACATTTATTTAGAAATATTTTACACATTTCAATTAAAATAGCACTAATCGCGAAAACGCACAAACATCCACTTTGCCAGACGAAATTTTATGGCACACTGAAGAAGAAGCAGTCGGTGATACCAGCTTTCAGAAAATAAAAAAATTGCCACCTAAATTATTACTAACCAAAACTCTTTGCTGTGTTTTCTTTGGCAATGATCGGGATGCGGATAAAAACCACGTTTGCGGCGCTGGTCAGTGAAATTGAAAGTGTAAAAATAGAATATGGAAATTGACGATGTTAAGAAATGTTTACGGCCTTATTTATAAAAAATAACGTAGATTTAACTAGATTTCAAGAGAAACGCATTTTCATTGGGCACGTTCAGAAGGCGCAACAGCTCAGTAACTGGTGCGATTGCACCTTCTGAACGCGTTGTCGCGTACTTCTGATCAACTGAATAGTTGCGTGGTAGATGATCCTAATATTTTTCTGATCATTTGAGACAACATGTTGGTGTGTACCTTTGAGAGTTGAATTTGACAGCTAATGTATGAAGTCGTTCAGAAAACGCATAACGATCACTGATTTTTTTTAGCAACGGTTGCGCTCAACTGCTGCGCCTTCTGAACCTACCCATTGATAGCTTTTTTTTGATACCACTGTGCGACAGCTCAAATCGGTATTGAATAAAACCAAATGCAACAAGATAGTTCATTTTTGAATTTAACGAACTCGTTGATTCAAATGAATGTTGACAAAAACGCAACCGTGTGCCACAATCCTGCTTGCAAATTCTTACTGGCAAAAATTTTCCCAGCACGAATTTGCAACTTCCCCCCCAAATGAAATGTCAGAATTGTGCTCTCTCTTTGCAAGTTTTACTGGGTTTTTGGCTAAACGAACACGAACAATTGGTACCAACTTGTTCAAATTTTTTGCATAGCGAACACTCCTATAGTTTGTCAAACTATTAATGCTATAGTTTGATCGGAGTTAATATATTCTTAATATATCATATTTTATTAAAACATAAGCTTATGAAAAATTATTTAGTCTTAATATGCACAGTTCGCTCCGTGTTCCAAAATATACTCCGAGTGCGTTCACTATTGATCATTTAATTTAAATAATTGTTCCACAAGTATTCAGTACTATAATTTGATCGGAGTTTATATAATCTTCAGTAATTGATCCCATTTTATTAAAATATAAACCTATAATAGGGTAGAAATTGTGAAATTATTTAGTTTTAACGGGTATAGTCTGCTAGAGACAATTGAAGAAATTGCAACTACTCGTGAAAACATGCATTAAAAGTAATGTAGGTGAAGGTAATAAATATTATTATTAAAATTAGATCCATATAAATAACATTTTACACCAGTTATTTAAAGTAAATCGGAATATATATTTGCATATAACATAGTTTTCATATAACTCATAAAGTACATATTTCATAACAAATATTTTTAAGATCACTTCGAATTTTAAAAATACCGCAAATTAGTTGTATTGAAGTATAAAGTATTTTTTTACGTGCATGTTAACTTATAAACCACATAACAATATTTCTCTCGCCATTTAACCGATGTTAAAAATTTTCACCACGTTATTTTGCTGCACAGCACCCTGAATGCGGCCAAACAGTTGCTCGAAACCCTCAGGTCCTTTATGGGGACCAAATTAACAGCCACAACAACAAAAACCTTTTCCACTGGTATACTGTGCTTGAAACCTTGAGGGATCTTCTGCAAATAAATGCATTAGTGCAGCTGTTTAGTTCATACCTTTTAATTGTAATAGATTTTATTTTTCAGAAAAATCAATGGCGTCAAAGTATGGCAACGCCGCTATTGCATTTCATGGAAAGTTGTGGAATTCGTTTTTAAAGCATAAAATTAGGTAAATTCTGTAAAATTGTACGAAAAACTATGCAAATAAATTAGGATTTATTGTAAATCTGAGATAAATATTTGCAAGAAGTGCATCGTAATCAATTTGTATTAAAATTAGACTTATTATAATGCGGTGTGAAGTATTGGAAGTAACATTGAGAGCCGATAGCGAAGGAATTTGAGCGCTTATCTACAAATAAATAATTATTTGCAGTTTAACCTCGAGGAAAATGTATGAATATTTGCAGTAACATAAAAAATATGCAACTCATTTTAACAAAATAGGCAGAGTAACTTATTTATTGCATTCCCAATGGTGGTCGCTTTCTCGCAACTTCTGGATATGCAAATATAGGGCTTTGAAATTCAAAGTTTGGATAAAGACTTGTTGCATTCGTTTTGCTACCGATGTTAACACATGTGTGTCAGAGTGTGTGCGTTCGTCCAATTTTATATATACGTGACACTCGGCCATGGCTCTTGCGCCTCAAGATTAGTTTTCTTCCATCGAAATTTTATTTATTTATAGTGTGGTATACTGCTTCTAGGCGTTGCTGACGTTGGCACTTTTTCGTATCGGACTTTCAATAGTTTTTTAAATACATACAGTGCCTAAAAATTGGTAACGATTTTTGTGTTGACTGTTCTAAGCAGGTTATTGGAATCAGTTGTCTCTTACAATAAGGTTAAAAAAAGAGAGGTCTCACTCGTCCTTGTGTGGCAAAATATCTTACAATAAATAGGTTGCAAGAAATTTAAATTCTTCTATCTACTTACCTATATTCCTGCATACAGGAAAGCGTATAAGCTCAGTCCCCCGGAGCACATGTTAATCATATGGGCAAGGGAGTCTTTAAGTAATTTATATTTTTTCAGCAAATTATAAGAAAATACAATAAGGGCGGTGAATAAATTTAGCCCATGAAAAACCACAAATTTTGAATTAAATCGTTTTTGAAGAACGCGTATGAAATGTACTTATCATTATATATGTAATAATAAATTTGATCAATTGAAAGAAAAAACAATTGCAGCATCTAAATAGTTGAAATCTTCAATAAAAAAAGTTCTCAAATAAAAAACTTGACTTTCCATTCATTATATTCATCACTCCACAAAGATAAATTTGGCTTTCTATTAATTTGATTCATCACTACACAAAGAAAACAAAAAATTTCCTTATTCTATATTTAAATAAATTATGCACTGACATACATACATACATATGTTCATACATACATATATTGTGATTAATAAAATTAATAGAAAGTCAAGTTCTTTAGTTGCGAACTTTTTTGGTTCTTATATAAAAATGAATATTACTTCTAAAAATGCAAAAACATTGATCTCTACAATATATATTACATTCTTTTGTTTTATTAAACTAAGTTTTCTAACATACAAAGAAGCACTTAATTTACAGCATTTTATTTGAAAATTGGTACGAATTACTAAATTTGCTTGAAAATTATGTCTTTACGCCTACTGATTTAATCCCTCAAGCGAATGTTATTCCATCTTAACCAGGATTTCGATAACAAAATTAGCAGAAATTTATGGAAAAGGGAATTTGAAAAAAGTAAATATAAATATATGTGGTGTGGCTGCGCTCTTACCATTTTAAGGATCAACTAGTACGGCAAGATTATTCCGCATTTCGGAAAGTTATAGTTATATGCGAAGTGAGTTGGTTATTGTCCGATTTTGCCGATTTTCAGCACCGATCTACCATACATTAATTCTAATATTTGCGTCAAGTTTTATTTAGTTATCGCAATTTCTTCTCCCATTATTAAAACCATTTTAGGGAAAAATGGCGCGAGCAATTTTTCACAACCTTGGTTTCTCTGACCAAATGCAATGTTTGTATCATTTGACCAATATCCTGAACAGCCCTAATGTACCTATATATTTTGAGTTAGTACGCTTTGAATATAAGGTTGATAGTAAAAACTCGTGTTTATTATATGAAAATATCCATTAATCGTATTTGTATATGTACGTACTTACATATAAATATGCACGCATGTTTTTTTTTATTTTTATTTCAGACAATATGGGTGATACCATCAAAAAATCTAGCCCGACGGTCAAAGAACCCAGCAGCGCTGTGAAAATCTTAAATCAACGCGCTGCTAAACGTGCGAAACCAAATAGTTCCGAATCAAGTACATCCCCTAAGCATGTCAAACTTTCTATAGCAAATAGCGATGCTACTCCAGCGAATAATTCAGATATGGATCATTATGTGCTGAAAACTATTAAAGAAGAAGGAAGTGTTGAGGGTGTGGAGACAATAGCTTTTGTACTGTCGGATCAGACCGAAAAGCAAAAAGATGTAACAAGTGCTGCAGGTGAAGCCGCTGAAGAGTTACAAATTAGCGATGATGAACCTGAAGACACTGACGGAAAAAGTGAGATGGTGGAGCATGTATGCGGCAAATGCTACAAAACTTTTCGACGTTTCAGTGTAAGTATACATGCAAGTGTATGTGTATGTATATTTTTTATTGTAATTAGCCCAAACAGTTTAATTATCTCATTTTATTTTGAATTTTTTTTTTTTTAATTAGGGGCTAAAAAATCATATGGAATTTTGTCGGTATGACTGTGGATATCATTTGCGAAAAAATGAAATGCTAAAAAACCTTGACAAGATCGAAAAAGATGCTATTACAATGGAGAACAAAGATGTATGTTTTTGCTGCGGCGAAAGTTATGACACATTTCACGTATGTATTGGAATAATCAAGAAGCCTTATATTTTAGCACGCGTGCTGATTAATTATAATTTTTTACTATATTAGCTAGGACATATAAACTGCCCAGATTGCCCAAAATCGTTCAAATCGCAAGTGAGCTATGAGCGTCATATATTTATAACACATTCTGAATTCAATGACTATCCTTGCTCGATTTGTAATGCGAAATTGCGCAGTGCAAATTTGTTAAAATTACACGAAGAACAGCATAAAAATCGTGGAAAGCCTTTCGCTTGTAAAATATGTGGAAAGGACTTTACTCGGGCGTATCACCTCAAACGCCATCAAAAGTATTCCTCTTGCTCAGCCGATGGCACCGATACTATGAAATGTAAAGTATGTGATAAATCTTTCTTTCGTTTGGACAATTTACGTGCACATCTTCGCCAGCATTTGGGTACACATGTGACCAAGAAACCCGAATATAGATGCCCACAATGCAAAAATTGCTTTTATAGTTTATCTACATTAAAGTAAGTAATACAACTTTTCAAAATCGTTAAAAATAGTATTGAGTAATATTGTTTCACACCTGAAGTATACACACACGAACGCACACCGGAGAGCGACCTTTCGATTGTGACCTATGTGAAAAGAAATTTCCTTCGCTAATTGCACTGAAAAAACATCGGCGCTACCACACTGGTGAGAAACCCTACACTTGTTCTGTGGTAAGTGGGTGTAAACCTTCCAAAATATTTTTAAAATAATAAATAACCTTACGTCCATCTAATTATTATTATTATTATTATTATTGTTCTTTATTTATCATTAGCTATTTTAAACTTTCAGGTACATTTTTGCGTATACATACATAGTTTCAATTTTATCTTATAGCTTATTGTGAGTCCTCTAAATAACAATAATGTTTCTATTATTCTTTATATTACTAGGCAATTCATTAAATAGTTATAGACCTTTATAAATTAAAATATTGTGTGCCTTATTAGATTTATAGAGATTAATTCTGAAATAATTCTTGTTTCGTAAGTCGTAGGGTTGTACATGCCTTAAATTTACGATCCGCTCCGTTGGGTACCTGGTAACAAATTATATTTTGCAGTGCAATCAATCGTTTGCCGTTAAAGAAGTTTTAAATCGTCATATGAAGCGGCATACAGGTGAACGGCCACACAGCTGCCCGGAGTGTAATAAAAGTTTTATTCAAGCATCTCAATTACGAAATCACGCACGAACTCATATTTTTCCTTTCGAATGCTCAGATTGCGACCAAAAATTTAAAACGAATAACCAGTGAGTTTACTTAGTGAAATTCAAATGAATTGTATATGCATTTAATACTTGAAAAATTGTAACAGGCTCGAAAAGCATAGAAAAATTCACACGAAAAAATGCTACGAGTGTAACAAAACATTTTCGGATCAGTCTCAGCTAGAAGAACACATGGCAAATTATGTTCACAAAGGTAAGTTTCTTTCGATTGGTTAATTTCAAAAATCTTTAATTTCAAAATAATAATTTGTTTCATCTTCTAGCGAAAACTAAGACACACAAGTCAAGCTCTCGCAAATCGACACGACGCCCTCGCACTGAGTGTGCCGTCTGCGGTGAGGACTTCAAAACCGTAAAAGATTTGCAATTTCATATCCTCAAAGTACACGAAGTGGATCCTGAAGATTTCGTTAACGAAAAACCGAAGGAAAACAAAACAGTCCAAAATAGCGAAAATGTTTACAAAATAGAAGGTGGAGAGTCAAATGAAGTTCAGATTCTAAGCGAAACCGAAGGAAATGCCGCTATTATGGCAGCTGGTAGTGTGAGCAGCAAAGAAATTTACAATAATACAGACGATGGAAATAAAGGGGGTTTGGTGGTGAAGGAGTTCATTGTCAGTAATGTTCCTAATGCGAGCAGTGAAGGTGCGATAGTTATTCAAAACGAAGAATTCACAGTTATACCATTGGATGGTGTTGGTCCCATCGAAACGGTTACAGTGGGTCCGATAGATGTATCACCACTAATTAAAAAGGAACGTAAATCGTTAGGTGAGTCATTGGCAGTCGCTATTGCCTCAGAAACATTAACGCCCAGTGACCCTATTCAATTGAATGAAGAAGATATTAAACTTAAAGAGAACGTTGGAAAATTGCTGGATATGTTGGTCGACAACAAAACTTTGAAAAAATTCGGCTGGCCAACTAACACCGAAGAGAACGTAAGTTTAATTCAATATTTAGTTTATTAAAATATTATTTCATTATTATCCACCTTTATAGGTTTTGTGCCGTGTCATTGAAAATTGTGGTTATAACCTAATGAAAGATGCTGAAACATATCGTGATTTGGACTATGCAACGCGTATGCGTGAATATGTTAAACTATTATTTACGGTAGTAATTCATAATGACTCCATTAAAGAATTGCTGAACAATTATCCAATCGACGAGGTGGTGGAATATGTGCTGGGTAATGATGACGATGAAGATGATGATGTTGATAATGAAGATGATAAGAGTAGTAATATGAAAAATTAGAATATACGTACTATACAGGTGCAGAGAACGCCTTTGCATTACAATTATTACTTCTTAGATTATATGAAAACTCATGGTAGTGAAATTGCCTTTTAACGCCCAACATTTTTCATACATATTAGATGTTATGTACAGATTTATGTACAAATTTACAAACTATTGAACTTCCAGACATTTTGTAAAGAATTATACTTACATTAAATATGTATGTATGTGTATATACTTTTTTACAGTTGAAATTAAAATCAGTTATTTTATCTATACCCGTTTTTTGTCGGAACAAAATACATACTTATATACATAATACACATTTTCGTGGAATATTGTTTACAAGCAATAAATAATTGAATTTAAGTTATGAAATAACAAACAAAATTGCATTTCTTATTGTTATTGGCTAACGATGGTCTAAAGTTAGCTAATATAAGAAGGAACAAAGTTATTCCAAAGCCCATTATCAAAATTGTTGGCATAAATTAGACAAAAACTTCAGGTTTTAGCAAAATTGATTTAATATTTAATGGTACAACATAAATCATGCTCCCAAATAACATAGTAAAACTTCTACTGCGACACCTCATTACAAAAATGTGGTCCTCATAACAACAGTATTTTGCTTCAAGGAAAAGATGTAAATGTCATAAGGGATCATATATGAATGTACCTACATATCGCACACCGTCTTCAAAAGAGGCACAACTCAAAAATCAAGGCTCGAATCGTAACATCCGTTCACGGATCGAAACCGATACGAAAGAAAATTACGTGATAGGTTAGGCAGTATAAGCTGGGCTCGAATCGTCACATACGTGATCGTATTACTCGTCACGTAAAATTACAGTTTTCGGATTATGACATACGTGAACGTACTTTATACCCCATTTAGCTTATACGACTGACGGTAAGACGTAATTTTCTTTCGTATGGTTTTCGATCCGTGAACGGATGTTACGATTCGAGCCCTGAATGGGACAAGGAGTACGTTCACGTATGTATGTTATAATCCGAAAAATGTGTTTTTATGTGACGAGTGGTACGATATCGTATGTGACGATTCGAGCCCAGATCCGGAAACATAACTGCTTGTATTTCGTACAGACTCAACGCAATTGATGCAGAAACAGGTATAATAGTAGTTTTCTAGTTAGTGAATATAAACCTGAAAAAAAAAATGTTTGCCTTAATTTGAGAAAAAGTCGGCCACATTATTTCTTTGAGTTGTGCCTCTTTTGGAGAAGGTGTGCGATATCATCTAAAATGCAATCAAAAAAACAACTACTAAAACTGCAACTACTGCAACTAAAAAAAAAAGTATATATACATTTTTTTTTTGCATAATTCAATGTATAGGACTTACCTCCAATGAATACAAATATTTATTTCTTCATGATTACTAACTAAAAAACTATTGTTATATTTGTTTTTGTATTAATTGCGTTGAGTCTGTACGATCTACAAGCAGTTATATTTCCCGATCTGAATTTTGAGTTAGCGCACTTTAGGTGTGGGATATGTATGTTTTAATTAAAAGACAAAGCTTAGGGCATATTCATACAGTTACGCAAAGAAGTATTCGTTGTTTAGTATTTTCACGATATTCAAAATTTCGTTAATTTTCATTCAAAACTAGCAAATACCCAGCGTGCTTCACTGCGACTTAAAAGTATTTTTGTGTTGTTTGATACCCGTGTTGTAATATTTCATGTATTTTATCAATTTAATTGAATACAATTTTTTAAACAGGTGGTAACTAACCCTCCTCAAAAATATTTTCCGCAGTAATCTTTCCTAAACCTGGACAGACCGTCTGAAACCGTTCGAGAGGGGAAGAGAGTAGTAGTTTACCTCAGTCTCTCTCTCCCGCTCTCGCCCATGAAAAACCGGTTTCAGACCGTCTAAAAAATACTAGCGTATCGAGGCTACTTCAGTTTGAAAGCCATTTTGCAATATTCAATTTATCTTATCAATTAAATTAAATTAAAATTTTGAAACTGGTAGCAAGTCTTCTTAAGGCTCTTTCTTTTAAAAGCCATAATGGAATATTTTCTTTAGCATATCAATTTACTTAAACTATAATTTTCAGAAAGGTCGCAACTCGTATTTTTTCTTTCTATATTTTAAGTTAGACCTCCAGAAATACATGGGTGAAAACTGCACTCAATTCCATGCATTAGTTTTCGAGTGATGCTCTTACAAACATCTGGTTTAGAAAAAATTTTGGAAACGGTTGTAAAAAATCAACTAATAAACTATATTGAGTCTAATAAAATATTCATTAAGGAGCAATCGGGTTTTAGGGCTAATCACTCATGTGAAACTGCGCTAAACTTGGTTTTAGCACAATAGAAAGAAGACCTTAATTCCAAGAAGACTATATTGGCGGTGTTTGTGGACCATAAGAGAGCCTTCGAGACGATCCACAGGGAAATAATACTAAAAAAACACTCGAATATATTGGTATAGATAACATTTGATAGGAAGCAACAAACGGCGATTGACACATCTCTATCCACAAAGGTAGCAGTGGATATTGGTCTACCACAAGGTTCGGTGTTAGCTCCACTACTCTTTAATATCCATTATCAACGACATAAACTCAGTATTGAAACATTGTAAGGTAAAATTGTTCGCTGAACATACCCTCTTAGTCCTCAGTGACAGAAATCTACCCAATGCAATGACCAAAATGCAAGAGATTGTTTGTATAAATGGTTTTGCGCAAACACTCTTCAATTAAATGTGAAAAAGACAAAGTTTTTGGTCATATCTAGAGCAGCTAACGTTAGCTCCGATAGCTACAGCTTAAAAATTAAAGATGAAATAATTGAAAAAGTAAGAACCATTTAGTACCTATGTACATATATATATCGATGAAAGGTTGAAATTTGAGCAACATATTGCCTAATAAGATCTTTTGCGTTGATCAATACAAAAATAACGTTTAAAAGTAAAAGCGGTCTGTAAAGTAAATATTTTTAGCTAAATTTAAACGACTAAAGAGCATAATCCTCCTCATACATAGGCCAAGAATAGTAGCGCTGTGATACCACATGGAATACTAATCCCTTTCGATGTCATGAGTTTTACCGATGGTCTTATTTCCACCTGTGGGATCTCTGCCAAGCGTGCGTAATATTCTTCTATGATCTTGCAACTTCAACATTGGTCCGATGTACCATGTAATCCAATAAAATTCCTTATAAGGAAACTAAAGAGCACAGATGAGCGTTTTCAGTTATAGAAGGGCCAAGAATCTGCTCCAGCGCCACCAGCGTGTTGTCTAATGGGCTATAATAGGAATAAATGTATGCAAGGTATAACCTCCGGCAATTTGACTGGTTTTTGAGTTTAGTCCGAACAACGAAAACGGTTATCATTTTATGTATGCATTTACATATATGTTTAGAATGAAAAAAAAAGGAACAGTCCAGCGCCTTCGTCTTGGTCTGCAGGCTGTATCGGAGATACAGCCGCTATATTTAAACGTAGAATACGTGGTATGGTTAAGAGCATATCCAAGTCAAAAACGAAATCACACACTAAGAAAAAAAGGGTTTTTCCAAAATTTTACAAATTTACATACTTCTAAGTGAAAAGAACTCAATGAGAATATAAGCGAAAGCCCTATTTTTATTTTTATTTTATACCATTGTTTTTTTCTACAGCTTACTGAGATTTAAAGATTTGAAATTTTGAACAGAAAAATATTTATTGAAAAAACTTAATATAAAAACAATTTAAAATCGATTTTTTTAAAATCGATAAAAAAATCGAGAATATCGA